GTTGGCCTTTTCCCAAAAATTGATACTACGAAAATTTTTGCCAATATATACATATTTTTAAAATACTTATCAATCGGGGTGAGCATGGGCCATGAAAGGGTGATGCACACCCCACCCCTCACACCCAGCTGCCTTGCCACATTAAAAGCAACTCGAGGGAGGAGGCCATAAAGAGCCTTAAATAATAAACTCCGGGGCAAAGGGAGGTTAACGACGATCTTGGAAATCTCCACGGTACGGGGGATCATGAGTCACACCTTCACGAACGTTTTGGACAGTTTCACAAACATATCCAGACACAAAGCAGGGGCAAATGGACATTACAACTGGCGTTTTCTTTAAATGGTAAAAGTTCGAAACTTAGTGACAATAATAAATCGACATTCTAAACTGCAGTCTACATTAGTGGCTTTTATTATTACTTATTTTATTTCACCCGTATTCACCTCATATATTGTTTATTATTGTATCTTTCTATCTATGTGACTTTACCAAAAGAACCAAGGAATATGAATTCCGGCAGTCAAGAAAGCTTAAGTGAAAACTTAGTTATATCTCCAACCTCAGGATTTCAAAATATAACTCAAGAATAAAAAGCACGGATCCCTGGATACAGACAGGGAGCAAAGGTTAAAAAACCCTCTTGAAATACCGGAGGTAACAACTAACGGTACATTACAAATCTTGGTTAAACATGAACCAAATAATAATCCTGAGGTATTAGACCTAGGGTAACTCAAAATAGATACAAGGAAAATAGGTCAAACACACAAGACCAGATAATATGTATTCCATGGAATCAGAGCCTCCCGGCCGCCTTTGTGTTCCAACAATTTGACACAACACATGGTAGCAATAAAATACGTATGAAGGGAGGGTGCCTCCCCTTGAGATAGCAAACACCACGAAGGCAGAGGGGGGGGATGCAAACAAAAACATGGTGATCGAAAGCAGCCAGTCAAAGGTCAAAAGGGGGGGGGGGGGGGGCAACCAGGCAGTTGCGGCCGCTGGAGGAGAACGAGACAGAGAATTTCACACTTAACCAAGGACACAGATCACGCAACTCAGTTTGCAAGGGGCAGGCTCCGGGGCATGGCCTCGAGATCAACCATGGATGTCGTGTCTTGCAGAGAGAAAGACAGTGTATTGTGAAGAGCTGAGTTCGGCATGGACCGACAGAGTAGCGCCGAACGCTTAATTCTACATTTATCCTGATGTTTTGAGTCGCTTGCAGAGTCAAGCATTGAGATAAATTGTATTGTACTCAGCTATCAGAGTTGTGTAAGAGGTGTGCTAATAGAATTGACAAGTTTTGAGAGTGAGTGATCCAGCGAGCGACGAGCAGCTCACAGCAGGAGCCCTCTTGGAAGAAGGACGGAGAACACGAAAGTTTAGCAACGACAATGTGAAGCCCTGAAAGAAGGGTGGGAGAGGCACCACTGAATGCCAGCGTGAAGCTGGCAGCTGCACGATCAAGGAGCGAGCAATAGAGAAAGTGAGAGAAAGAGTGACGAGCAACTACAAGCAATCAACCTGTAGAAAGGGCAGAACACGCCAAGCATCGACCAAGCGAGCATTGCAGGGGACCAGCAGCAGCAGACGATCTGCGAGCACAATCGTGCACCACCAGAGAGCACAGAGCAGAAGAGAGCGCTCAACCAGTGCAACCGGGCAAGAGTGTCGGCACCAGCGACCTGCGGACGAGCAACGAGAGCCATCATGCATCGCCAGAGAGAGCAGAGCAGTGGAAATAACCTGAGCCAGCTCAGCCCTGAAGTAAGGGCGGGTGTCCGTGTGAAGCTGGCAGCTGCACGATAAAGGAGAGAGCACGGAGCTGGGAAAAGAGCCTGACCAGCCGCCCATGAGGAAGAGTGTCAGCGCCGGTGAGAGCGCCATGGGTTCGACACACACACACACCGAGAAGCACCAGCTGGGAACCAAGACAAGAGTCAGGAACGGTGACCAGCGGACGCGATGCGAGCGCTATCTGACGACAGAATCTCGCGCTTCGCCATCGGCGAGCATCGCGCCAACTCAACCAACCAGCAGTAGAGAGAGCTGGCAACGCCAAGAGGAAGAGTGTTGGCGCAGGCAAGAGCGCCGTGTGTTCAATACACAAACACACACGTACACAGTTAAACACACACACACCGTCCCAGCAGCCCTGCTGGGAACCTGGGGTATTTTCAACACAAGGAACGCCGTACCGCGAAAGACGTCAAGTAACAAGGAACGCCGTACCGCGAAAGACGTCAAGTCAACAAGTGGCAAAGAAGACACACTCATAACACGCATATTGGGACTAATAAGATTGTTCCAAAAAGTTATCTTTATGTTTCAAGAAGGGTTGCCATTCTAAGATGGTGCGTTAAATAGCAGGTGATAGTGAAAAGTATCGCTGCCCGTCGAGTTACATGAATACGATTGTTTAGAAGTATTTTAGTCATTCGTTTTCGTTAATTGCATAATCTTGACAATGAATTCATTGATAACTACCTATTTTCCCGCATATAACCCGCGGGGTATACCACTTTTTACAAACAAAACAAGACCCTACGGGATATATGGAGGTACGGGCTACCCCAAAAATATTTTACACGTGTGACATGTCATAACTCATTTTTTTTTCATGGTAGGACTATCCACTATGCAACACTTACCTTTGACTAAAGCACTGCTGAATAAACCACTCACACTAAAATTGCACATGTTATCAAGTTTTAAATGATTCGAATTGTTTGTACAATGATTCGACAATGTTTGAAGTGGGCGCACTTTGTTTACCGGCGACGGGAGATCTTGGGGGAGAGGTGGGGGGTTGGGGGCGAGGCAATGGTGTTACCGTAGTGCCGCTATTGTCTGTGCAGTGCGCAATCTACCAGTGCTAAAACTGTACTTATCTAGCAGTTACGTGCTACTTATTTATTGGATATTTACTTTTGTTACTTAATTACTGTTTTAAGTTCACTCGTTTCCGGTTTGTTTTTTTATTTGTGCACGTTATGATTTTAATGTTAACAATTGATAGTAAAATGTATTCCAAATGTAAACTTCGTATTAATATGATGGAATTAAGCTGCGGTAACGACGTTAAAGATATTAATGCATGCGGGGTGTATGGAGGTGTGGGCTATCTGACATTTGTTTTTTCACAAAACGCTATTTTTGCAGGGTATATGCGTATGCGGGCTATATGCGTATGCGGGCTATATGCGTCTGCGGGCTATATGCGTACGTGGGCTCTATGCAGGACAATACGGTACTCTTGCTTTAGGCGCATGTTCCTTTGTTGCTGTTTGTATGAATATTGTCACATTATTTTTTAAGGACTTTTCCTATTGCTGTGTATGCTCACTTTACTCTGAGGAATTAACCGATTGTTCTGTTACCCAGTTTAACAAACATGATCATTGAGAGTTAAATGTACGGATCAATGAGGAGGACATCTCCAGGAGTACTGTGTTGACAATCCTAGCATAAGAGTTCGCTTTAAATTTTGATTTAAAGCTTTCGTGACTGCAGTAATTCATATTCTTAGCTCTTTCGGTAAAGTCACGTTGAAGGGAAACAATAAAATAATTGTTTCATATATATTTTATTATTTTATTGTTTCCCTTCAACGTGACTTTACCGAAAGAGCTAAGAATATAGTAAGAGTTCGCTTATTAGAGTGTTATGTTTTTGTTCAGAAATTGAAGTTGCTTGACACAGAAGAGTCTGAGTGGTGCCTTCCTAAGTTCATGCATAATGATCTTAATTATAAGAACTGTATCCTGCGGTGAGATCTGAATTTTGAGACCTGATATAAAACACACTAAGACATAATCAGTAAAAGTTAATGCGAGAATCATTGTATTATCCCGATTGATAATACAACCCTGGACAACGAGGCAGAGCCTAATTAGCATAATTACATGCATTAGCATATTCACATACACTTGCATAACTTAATATGATTACACCTCCATGAATAGCATACATTTTGCATAATTACATAAATGTACATAGTTTCGGAAAATTACAAATTTCTCAATTTTCATTTAGTTTTTTAATTAAAATTTCAAGACCCGAGATATACAACACAGGAGAGGGTGTCCAGGGTGCCGATTGAAGTATGGCAAAAAAAAACCTAGAATGAGCATCATGGAGATTGAAAAAAAATGCCTTCAAAATGCAACCCATCAACTTGATTGCAACAAAAACACCCCCATACAGAAATACAGGTTTCGCTGGTTCTGCCAATCGTACAAGCCATGCACAACGCATCCCACCCGCTGTCACCTGAGTGCAAGACTGATCCGGTTCAGTCAGTAAGCTACCAGAGCTTTGCACTTTTAAATAATCAAAATTGACAAATTAATTTCTGTAGAACTGCTACTTGTTCTGTTTAGTTTTACATTGTTATTTTGGTTGCCCGGGTCTCTCGTGCTGGGCAGAGAGTTGGGGAGGGCCAAGCCACCAAAGACAAAACTTGGTCTCATCTGCAGGGTCGTAGTGGGCTCTCGTCAGGGAAGTAAACTTCTGATTCTTCTGATTCTGCAGTATGTGTAAGAGTAGGTGAGTGGGAGGGTGGATGAGTGAGTGGGTGTATTAGTGTGTGGGAGAGTGTGTGTGAGTGGGTGTGTAATTGTGGTCGTTCCGGCGCTGTCCTATGAACCTGGATACCCGGGTTCGATTCCCGCTCATGGCCAACACCAGTGACGATTATCTGAACTGGTGCTGGGCATCCCCTAGGTTAACTCAGACTCAAATTATTTCCTGGTGTGGTGCGTAAAAACTAGAGACAACGGCGGCCGGGCGTGGTGCTGGGCACCCACCCCCTTGTGTTAAGTGCTGGTCTTCATAGGTGCTCGCTAACAGTACTTGCCCCAACAGTCTGATAAGGTTATACAGGAAATCTTTGTCTTTGTGTACTTGTGGAATGCGTTGATGATGTCTGCCAGTTAAAACCCCCTTTAAAAATTACGTTTTATCTCAATGGGCTCGACTTAGGAATTTAACTTCTGGTTCTTCTGATAAACCTTGAAGAGCAGCCATCAGGCTTTGTCTAGCTGCCAAGATGTCTGTGCATCGCACCACACTGTGCCTCAACACGCTGCACATGGGTTCACATTCCAAGCAGTGTCTCGTGATGTCAGTGACGACAATGAAAATATTTAAGTATTTTACTTCCTTCTTCACCGTCGCTATAAGAGAGAGGTCCTGGTCCAGGGTCTCTCTGATCCACACAGCGAGTGATCCCAGCGAAGCCATGAGTCATGGCGAGCGCGACTCCCAGTGAGAGTGTGGATAGTGAGCTGCTCCATCTGCCTGGGCATGTTCGTCTGCCCCTCCACGTTGACCTGCTGACACTCGTTCTGCCTGCGGTGCCTGGAGGCCGCCTTGGGAGTCGGCAAGCAGCTTCAGCTGCCTGCAGTGCCGAGCGACCTCCCCTGTGCGACCCCAGCTGAGGAGGAACGTGGCCCTCGCCAACCTGGTGGAGCAGATCAGAGTTGGAGACGGGATGGCCGTGGCCGTCGTGTGTGACATCTGCGGTGATGGCCACACTCCTGCAGTGAAGACCTGCCTGAGATGCGAGATGTCCTTCTGTGCAACGCACTTGAGACCTCATGTAGAGAATCCTAGGTTGAGAGACCACGCCGTGGTGGATCCTATCGCGAACTTGGATGGGCGACGGTGCCAGCAGCACAGACAGGAGCAGATCAAGTTCTACTGTGAACAGGATGAGAGCCTGGTCTGCACTGTCTGCACCATCGCTGGGGGACATAAAGGGCATGCGTTCATTCCAGTGGAAAATGCACAACGGACAAAACAGGTGAGATATAAATCTCTGCTGTAACCCAATATCCCTCAATGTGACTACAGCATTCTGTGTGTGTGTTGTTCAGATAGAGGGTCTGTATTTTATCATTCAGATTTGCATATTATTAGGTAACTCCTATTGTTCCAGCATTGTGACGGTCAATCAAATCACTTTGGGCAACACAGATTGTAAAACTGGCACACGGTAGACAGCAGAGACACGGAAGACGGCAATGTTGGTTTGAATGTTTAGCAAAGCAGGGTATCCCATGGTTTAGCTAGAAGACAAAGCACTTTGTAACATTGCTGGTAAAGTTGTAAAATACATTTCACGTGGTAAGATTCGTACTTGTGAGTAGCAATAATGGTTGGAGAGAAATGTGGACTAACACGAAATACTTCAAACGTGAGACGGCTTAAAAGTGCACTGACCATGAAATTAAAGGAGGCAAATCAGAAGCCATTCCCGTGGTAGAGACAGGCCGCCAGGCACGGTTTGATTGTCCATAGGCCAGATTTAGATTTGATTCTGTTGCAATGTTTGGTACCTAAAATTCCACCCTGCATCTAACATAGACGCCGTGTATTGGCATTCCACAACAAAACAGTGGATTGTGGTTGAGCACTACCACGGTGAAGCTTGGCCAACCACCAGAGCATTTAGCCTGCCACGCTTTTATTGGCAGGTGAAATGGGGCAACAGAGTGTGGGACTAAGGCCACACAGCTAAGAGACTGCGTGGGACTTGACGTGGGCAGAGCTTCACGTTCACAGCGCTCAATCCTGCCAGTGTCAGGCCCTGCCAGAGGCAATCAAATGGGGACAGCTTAAGTCAAACATCACAATGAAGGATATTCAAGTCAATAATAATCATCATCATGACTATGGATGTATTTGTTGTTTTTGTTGTCGTTGCTGCTGCTAATATTCTTCTATCGTTAGAGTGTTAATATGATTGTGTTAATATTGACATTATTGTGTTTCCTACTACTGACAATGTTACTCTGCGTATTCAATTCTGGCTGTCGCCTGATGATGCTGGTTGTAATTAGAAGTGAGGCAAAACGTCATGGTCCTCGAATTATAAATATTGTGGGTTTACTTTCCAACACACCGGTGGTGCTGAACTAGTCACTAATTGGCACGTTGTGTTTACGTGACGAACCTTACTAATTGACTGAGTCGGGTGGTGGCAGGTTTAACGACACATTTCTATTTACATGACCTAACCCAAAAAAAACATTTTATGAATATTGGTCGCCAAAGCCTACTTGTTAAACTTGATCTGCATATATTGACTTGTAGCAATATTCCTTAAATTACTATTATCACATACACTGCATTTCTAGGAATGTTTAAACTGTGATATGAGTGTGCAGTTGTTCCTGCTTTGGGGAGCGGTGGTGTAGTGGTTAGCGTACTGCGAACCTGGTCACATGGCTCTCCCCACCCCTGAGTCCTGTCCAACTTGTCCCAATACGCCCGAGCAGCAGCCCTATCAGCACCAGAGCTGTCTGTATCCTAATACAGCTCTGGCACTCAGCTTGGTTTCCTGTAATATTTCGTATTTAAGTTTAGGTGTTTACCGCACTGTCACGCAAAGTGTGTGCTGTAGATATCTCGGGGGGTTATGGTTGTCGGTTCCGCGAGATTCCATTGTTGGGAAAAACTGTAGAAAACACGAGCGTGGGAGTGGGGACTCCTTAATACACCGCGCTGTGATCCAGCCACCTACCTCAGACACGGCTGTTGCGCTGCCTGCTAAAGACCACCTCACAACCTGGGAGGTTGAAAGATTCAAATGGTCATGATTATCGCTGGGCGATCCAGGAAACTGGCCTGCAAGGATCTGGGTTAAAGACATGGACCACTTGATGATGATAATGATTGGAGTACCAAACATCGCGTATTTGTCTACCCCATGTATAGGAGGCGTTCAGACTCGAGAAGACGGGGAGAGAAAAAAATAAAACTATGGCAGAATCACAGATACAGCAGCTCAAGCGTGCCTACAAACGCGTGCAGGTACAGAGAGACACACAGACACGTGCAGGTAGAGAGAGACACACAGACATGTGCAGGTACAGAGATACACACAGACACGCGCAGGTACAGAGATACACAGAGACACGCGCAGGTACAGAGAGACACACAGACACGTGCAGGTACAGAGAGACACACAGACACGTGCATGTACAGAGAGACACACAGACACGTGCAGGTACAGAGAGACACACAGACACGTGCAGGTACAGAGAGACACACAGACACGTGCAGGTACAGAGAGACACACAGACATGTGCAGGTACAGAGAGACACACAGACACGTGCAGGTACAGAGAGACACACAGACACGTGCAGGTGCAGAGAGACACACAGACACGTGCAGGTATAGAGAGACACACAGACACGTGCAGGTGCAGAGAAACACAGACGCGTGCAGGTACAGAGAGACACACAGACACGTGCAGGTACAGAGAGACACACAGACACGTGCAGGTACAGAGAGACGCACAGACATGTGCAGGTACAGAGAGACGCACAGACACGTGCAGGTACAGAGAGACACACAGACACGTGCAGGTACAGAGAGACACACAGACACGTGCAGGTACAGAGAGAAACACAGACACGTGCAGGTACAGAGAGACACACAGACACGTGCAGGTACAGAGAGACGCACAGACATGTGCAGGTACAGAGAGACGCACAGACACGTGCAGGTACAGAGAGACACACAGACACGTGCAGGTACAGAGAGACACACAGACACGTGCAGGTACAGAGAGACACACAGATACGTGCAGGTACAGAGAGACACACAGACACGTGCAGGTACAGAGAGACGCACAGACATGTGCAGGTACAGAGAGACGCACAGACACGTGCAGGTACAGAGAGACACACAGACACGTGCAGGTACAGAGAGACACACAGACACGTGCAGGTACAGAGAGACGCACAGACACGTGCAGGTACAGAGAGACACACAGACACGTGCAGGTACAGAGAGACACACAGACACGTGCAGGTACAGAGAGAAACACAGACACGTGCAGGTACAGAGAGACACACAGACACGTGCAGGTACAGATAGATGCACAGACACGTGCAGGTACAGACAAACACGCAAACTATACGGGTACTTAGCATTTGGCTTGAGTGCCCATGGATATCCTCACTAAATCTCCTCCTTTCTTGCATTTAATTACTCGACGTTCTCAAAAATTAAGTCACCCGCCTTAATGTACGGAGTTATGAGACGTGGCCGTGTCGAAGTCCTTCATGACGTCACATCGCACTGTGTCGTGTTGCATTTCAAGAGCGCGTCATCGTATCACTGCGTAGGAGTCTCTGCGTGGGACCAAGGAGCGGATCAGTCGAGAGTTTGTGCGCCGGAGGGAGCAGCTGACGGAAGAGGAGAGGGAGGCGCTGGAGCGCGTGGACGAGGAGGGCCGTTCCGTGCTGTCCCGCATCCAGGCGGACATCGCTCGCTACGAAAGCAGAGCACGCGGCCTGGAGCAGGAGATCAAGCAGCTGCTCGCCACCCTCGCCGTGCAGGACCCGCTCTCCTTCCTGCAGGTGGCACCACCTCCATTCACTCGCCGTGGTGGCTAGGAGATGTTAACTACCTCGCCTGGTATGCAGGAGGTCGTGGGTTCGATAACAACGCTGACGTCTGCTGTATATTCAGAGTTTGCATCTCTCTCTCTCTCCTCGCACATGCGTGGATTTTTCACAGGTTCTCCGGTTTTCACCTCCAAATTTAGAATCAACATCACGCGTTTAGCGTAGTTTGCTGCTATAAATTTCCACACAATAAGCCACTTTCTTGAGTTATCGTTTGTGGCAAGATTACTTCTGAACCAAAGCTATATAGCTCAGTGGGCCTTACCTGGTAAGCTATAAAAACTATGTTTATAGTTTATACTCATAGCCTTGGTTTATCAGAGGGTTAATCTACAACCAGCAGAGGCGCAGCACCCTGTGAGACGTTGACATTGTTGGCAATATTATTTCAGTGTTTTACGATATGGGAGCAAGCGGTGGTGTCCATGAATAAACGCGCGTTTGCTTCCATGTGACATTCAGACCTGGACTTGTCCAGTACAACATCGCCATTTACCTCGCCTGCTATGCAGGAGCTCGTGGGTTTGACCCCGACACTGATGAAGCCTGCTGTATATTTAGACTTTGCGTTTTTCTCTCTCTCCCTATTGTCCCGTAGATTTTTCTCCGGGTCCTTTGATTTTTTTCTTCCACATTTATAATCAATATCATTCATTCAGAGTATTAGGCAGCTACTATAAATTTCCCACGTGATAAGCCACTTCGTTGAGCTGTCATTTGTGATAGCCAGGTTGCTTCTGAAAAAGAGCGACATAGCTCAGTGGGATTTACCTGCTAACAATTTCAAAACGTTAAGTTTATTCAGAGTTCAACACGTGAGTTGTTTTTAGACCACTCGTGTAGGTGATGGACTAGACCTGTAAAGGGTGGTTTTGTATTTTTTAGACGTCCGTCCGTGTCCAGTTAAATTAACCCTGTTTTTCACCATTCTCAGTGTGCAGATATTTGCTAATTCCCTGATGTCGCACTCCACCATAAGCGGCAGGTGACTGTGTGGAGGTGGGGCATCCGTTTATGATGTCAATGTTAATGTGAAATGCGGGTTTGTGTTTTTCAGGATCCCCTGCATGAGAGTCTCAGGTCAGTACCAACCCAGACTCAAACTCGAGCTCAGTCTGCCACCTGGTGGACAAATCAGCTAACGGTCGTGATGTAATTCCTAATACACCCCATTGTATGAAGTCGTATCCCATATGGTCTATTGTATCCCATACAGGAAGTCCTCGGGTTACACACCTAATTTATTCATGAGACTCGTTCGTAAGTCGGGAAACAATATTGCACCATATTTAAATCCCAACACGGTTGTAAAATGTCTTACGGTTAAACAGAGGGAAGCATTGTTAAACTCATAATTAAGAATAAATGTTGTACATTTGTAATCTAACACTGTAAACATTTTGCAGTATAGTCAATTAAACATAAAATAACATAAATAGAAAACAAATTAATTTTCACTTACATTGATGCTAGCTTGTGGTCGGAAGGGGGGCAATGAGTCACTACAACAAACAGGGCACGCATGCACACACAAAGACACCCCAACGACAACAATCCCCCCATGTAGCCTTCACAGGATGTTTGGGGAAAGTTCTCTCAGCGAGCAGTGCCCAAGATGGCCACCACTGTGGCACACGAGGGGGTGGGTGCCCAGCGTCATGGCCCGCTGCTTTTGTCTCCCCGGTGGCCTGTTCTAGGCCAAGTGCACTTTGAGGCCACGTGAAGTGTCGAACGCCCGCTGGCAGGGGGTCACGGGGCAGACCCAGGTGCCACACACTTAGAGGCGAATGGCGGTTGTTTGTAGAGAGACATGGACCCTCATTAGACTGTGTATCATGCTGCGTGTTTAGAGAGACAAGGACCCTCATTAGACTCTGTGTGTTCCTGTGCTGTGAGTGCAGGAGGAGCTCCGTCTCCCAGGAGACTCAGGATGACCCAGCCCCCATCTCCCATGGTCTGAACCTTGCAAAAGTCATCTCAGTGGGCGGCGTCCAAACTAAACTTCTGCCTTTTCTCGGTACATCCCTCTGCCACGACGATCTTCCTTAGACTACATTACAAACTCCAGATTGCCGACAAATCCTACCCATTTGGAGGGCCTCCTTTATTTCACCCAGGCTTGAGTGCATTAATGCAGCGTGACCCATTGGCAAGGGAGACCTACGTGCATCCTGGTCATGAAACGGGCACCGAGATGCTGGGTGAAAGATCGCTAACAACACGAAGGGTCTCACTCATCATGAGTTGCAAATAACAACAGCAACGTGACAGTGCGTTTCTTGAGAGAAAAAGGGCGACTTTGTAAGCTACGGACGAAGCAGTTCCAGTCCTGTCACGCTCATTTAGACGCTGACCATCACGCGTGGGTGCAGTGGGTTCACGGTTGGTTGAGGAAAGTGGCTGCTACGTGAGAATTAAGACGAACGAGAGCCAAATGATAAGTAACTTATTGTACTTAGGGCGCTCACTGCGGGCAAATTGGAATTAAACTGTTCACGTAAAACGAAGTGCAGGATGGAGGCTGCAGCTGTTTCATAATCGCGTAGGCAGCCTTCACAACCAGGACTTTAAAAAGTACGAAGGAATGTAAATGATTGACTGGGTCTCAGAGTTTCAGTGCAAGATCCTCATTTTTCTCCAGGTCCTCCGGTTTTTTTCCCTCCACGTTTAGAAATCTGCCCTTGGGGTATTTGGCACTTCGATGAGCAATCAGCACGTGTGGCCAGGTCGCTACACACAGTGCAGTGTGCATACCGCTACGTTACCACTCCTCACACCCACTCATTCACCCACCCACTCACTCACCTACACACACCCCCACACACCCACTCATTCACCTACTCACCTACTCACTCATTCAACCACTCACTTACCTACTCACTCACCCACTCATTCACCCACTCACTCATCTACGCACACCCCCACTCACCCACTCATTCACCTACCTAAACCCCCACTCATTTACCCACTACCCACAAGTTAATATTTTAAAAGGTTAGTATACACACTGGGGGAGTGGTGGGAAAGCGGCTGATGCGCTGCACAACGTGGAGTCGATTCCTGTATAAGCAGCGTTGAGCTTGGCTAGTGATGGGATGGGTGATCACCGTGCATAGCAGATGCTATAGGCTGCGGGGCTCTTTGACCTACCTATTTAGCATATTTTAATTTCACCAGGTGCAGGTACCCACTGAGCTAAGTAGCTCTTGTTCAGAAGCGAGCTGGCCGTCACGAATGATAGCTCAACCGATTGGCTGACATCATCGTCATCCCGTTGACATTTATATCAGTTGCCAAATATTCACAGAGACCCATATAGATACTGAGAGACCCATACAGATATTAGACCCATAGTCACACGTAGAAAACAATAACGATACCAATGGAGACCTAGAGATACATAAACACCCATAGAGGTACTCATACACCCATAAACATCCATGTAGACACATAGACATACATAGACTCATAGAGATACCTAGAGACCCATAGAGATACATAGGGACAAATAGAGATACATAGAGACCAATAGACTGAACTCATTTTAGATTTGAAGTTTTCGTGACATCAAAGATCCATACTCTTTGTTTTTGTCGGTAAAGTCACGTAGGTCAAAACAAAACAAAACTAAATTAATTCACGACGTTGAGCGCAACACATGCGTCCGTCTTCAGATGGCTGTGACGAGGATTATATAACTGCGGGGGGGGGGGGGGGGACCCAGGCATACTTAAGCGATTGTTCTTTCGCTGTTTGTCCCCACGTGAAGACGGACACTTATATTGTGCCCGAAACGTCGTGATTTAATTTAGTTGTTTTCATTTTTTATTTATTTTATTTTTACCTACGTGACTTTACCGAAAAAAACACAGAGTATGAACTCATTGTATTTGACCAGATAAGGCCCCACTGAGCTGTGTAGCTCTTGTTCAGAAACGACTTGGCCATCACAACTTATAGATCAACCAAGTGGCTGATATCGTCACCGTGTGGACAAGTATGGACGCAGCCAAATAGTAGATGCAAGAGGAGGGAAAAACCGGAGGACCCGGCAGAGCTTTGGGAATCTATATTATTTAATTAAAGAAAAAACTTTAAACTGTTGTGACGGGGTGGGCAGCAGAGGGCAGTGCAGCATGAACCATTGTTGTACTGCACCTCTACGCTTCCACCTTCACGGTCCCCATCATCGCCAACGAGCACCGACGAGAGCGGTGAAGTATGGTCAAATAACCACCCAGGATGCGCACGGTGCGGGGAGGCGCTCACCCAGCAGCGGAGTGACACACAATGTCTGTGTGTGGATGTCAGAATGTGCGAGGCTGTGACACACAATGTGTGTATGGATGTGAGAGTATGCGAGGCTGTGACACACAATGTCTGTGTGTGGGTGTGAGAGTGTACGAGGCTGTGACACACAATGTCTGTGTGTGGGTGTGAGAGTGTGCGAGACTGTGACACACAATGTCTGTGTGTGTGGATGTGAGAGTGTGCGAGGCTGTGACACACAATGTGTGTGTGTGTGGGTGTGAGAGTGTTGCGAGGCTGTGACACACAATGTCTGTGTGTGGATGTGAGAGTGTGCGAGGCTGTGACACACAATGTCTGTGTTTGTGGATGTGAGAGTGTGCGAGGCTGTGACACACAATGTCTGTGTGTGGATGTGAGAGAGTGTGCGAGGCTGTGACACACAATGTCTGTGTGTGGATGTGAGAGTGGCGTTCACATTGTGGTGCTGGCATTATCACAGCTGCTCACTACCACTGCACACACACCCATGGTCATGTGAGTGTAGCACTTATTAATTAATAGTTATTATTTATTATAATTAACTAATTATTCACAAGTGATTAGCAGTATATGTACACTAATACTAACTAATATCAGTATGTGTACACTAACACTAACTAATATTAGTGTGTGTACACTAATACTAACTAATATTAGTATGTGTACATTAATCCTAAATAATATTACAATGTGTGTACACTAATACTAACGTTAGTATGTGTACACT